CAAAGAGTTCTTGTTCCTAAAAGATGCCTTCAGTTGTCAACCCCAGGCGAACATCTTGGAGAAGTGAGCTGGAAAGCACCCTTGAGATCTGTTTTTCAGACAGGACTTTACAGCCGTGACTATATGCAGAGAAGACATCAGTCTTCTGTGGCTGTGGCTCAGTATGACTCGAGATCACAAAGACAGCACCCAATGTAAGCATGTAGTGTTTCAGAAAGAAAATGAAAAAGGTACAGTTGTATCAACTTTTGAGGTGAGAACACTCACTTCTCAATTTAACTTAACCCCAACAAACCGCACACCCCTACAGAAACCAAGCAACCCACCCCATAATATTAGAAAAGCTTTTGGTAGCAAAGACTTTGGGTTAAAGGTTACTGAAACTTGGAGCACATTACTGCTCCTGCAGCAGTACAAATTGCCCAGAGGGAACCACAGTTCCAGTTACTCCAGTAGGTCTTAAAAGCAACAGCTGAGCAATCAGCATCTATTCAATAAACTATTATCAGTGTGAAAAAACTCACTCCAAGTTTCAGCTGATGGTCAACGTTTCTGAAGTTTAAGAGATAAACCTTGGATCAACTGACAAGGGAGAGAAAAGAAACACCAGGGAGAGGACAGCAAGTTCCCGCAGTACTTTAGGCCCCCCTGAGCAGAGGCCACAGCCCTCCCTGCTGCCAGCCCTCCGACCTTTGCAGTAAGAAGTTTTACTTTTCCAAGATAGCCTTCTGTATTAACAGGAGCTCCTTTACCTCTGGCAACCACACCAGTGGCTCGTCAGTGTTGTCCCCTTCCTCTCCAGCCGTCATTTACCACAGCTGCATTCCAGCTTTACTGCCGTCCAGATTCCTCCTCTGAGCACTACACTCTGTGCTGGCCTTACACGAATTCACCTCAGATAAATTATCTCTATTAACCATTCTCCCCTGCTACACAGAATGACAGAACAGATGAGGCTGGAAGGAGGGCTGGGGGACCTCCTCCGGTCCAGCTCCCTACTCAGAACAGGGTCAGCCAGCAGGTTGCTCAGGGCTATCTCCAGTTTGGAGTACCTCCAAGGACATAGACACTACAACCTCTCTGGGCAACCTGCTCCAGTGTCTTACCTGGGATTATTTTTTCCCCCCCTTATGTTTAAATGGAATTTCCTGCATTTCAGTTTGGGCACCTTGCCTCTTGGCCTGTCTGCACACCACCAAGAAGAGCCTGGCTACCTCTTTGTGTCCCACCCCCCAAGTATTTATATACATGGGTAAGATGTCCCAGAACCTTCTCTTCTCCAGGCTGAAGAGTATTAGCTCTCAGCCTCTCCACATAGCTCACACGTCACATGCTCCAAGCCCTTCAGCACCTTCATGGCTCTTCACTAAACTCGCTCCAGTATGTCCATGTCCCTCTTGTACCAGGGAGCCCAGGACTGGACCCAGCCCTCCAGATGTGGCCTCCCCAGTGCTGATGAGAAAGATCACACCCTAGACCTTGAGGTGATGCGATGCTGTTCCTGATGCAGCCCTGGAGAGTCTGTTGGCCTCCCTTGCAGCAAGAGCAGACAGGTCTTACAAAGCTGTATGGGCCTTCGACGACTATTATCCATATTTTCTCATCCAGCCAGGAACTCATATTGCCATATGCAATACAGATGATAGCAGAGTAAGCCAAGAACACTGAAAGCCCAATTCTTTGAATACATACCTTGTGAAATTGAGCTGAGGTTTTTCAATACGAGAGTGAAAATAATGTAGTTAAACCTGTATTTCTACATTCAAATAAAGACTGTTTTCAGAAAAGCTGAAGGCATGAAGGTTCATCTGAGAAGAATAATTAGTAAGAAAAAAAACCCCACCAACCGCTGAAGTAGAAGGTATCTTCCCATATAAATCAGTAGTCAGTGGCACAGCTTAAAAGAACTGAGAATCCTTCCCAGAGGGATCCCTGTAAGTCCCGCTAACAGGGACTACGGCTCTATATTACAAGAAACTACATCTGAATTAGGATAAAAATGAAAAGTAATTTAACAGCTATTAAAGCTGTTAATGAAACACATCATGTGATTCACTTAATGCCAGTAATACACCATTTCATACCTCACCACTTATTTCTGGTCTGTAAAATATAAAGCCCCATTACCTGGAAATTTCTAGATAAGGGAAACAAAAATTTCCAAATATACATTTCCTCCATGCCTCCAGAGCAAAGAAATGACAGTAAAAGTCTTCAGAAGCAGAAACCTGCAGTTATGATACCTGCTAGACTTTCAAGGCTTTTATCTCTGCAGAAAGATAGCCTCCCATGTGAACACCAAAACTGACTGCAAGGGTGGACAACTGACAGCCAAGCTACGGATCACTTAGTTGCCCTTTCATGACACAGGGTAAGACGTATTTATTCAACTTATTCTGAAAGTGACTTGTTTAGTAAGCTGAAGACTCGAAATCTTCTACCATGTGAGGCCCAAAGCAACATCTGTAGTATTTACAAGTAACACAGAAGCTTTATTTGGGAAAGACGACCTGTAACTTCCAGAAGTGCTGGAAGAGAGAAGGCAAACACAAGCAAACATCTCCTTACACTTATGAGCAAGTTACAGCTTTGGGGAACACCTGAAGGGATTCAAAGATGGCAAGAAGAAAAAGTGGTCAGACACTAGAACAGGTTGCCCAAGGAAGTTGTTGATGCCCCCTCCCTGGAAGTGTTTAAGGCCAGGCTGGATGAGGCTTTGAGCAACCTGATCTAGTGGAGGGTGTCCCTGCTGAAGGCAGGGGGATTGGAACTAGATGATCTTTGAGGTCCCTTCCAATCCAAACCATTCTATGATTCTATGAATAATCTGCACAGCCTAAGTCTTGTCCCCAACAAGGCAGTTGGATGAAGAAGAAAAAACACAGCACTTCTCTAAGTCAATGGAGAATGTAATAAAAAAAGCTCACTCCCAATTCAAGAGTGCACAAACCATTTGCAATTGGTACCCAACAGGAATAAGTGGGCAATGCCTTATGACAGGCCAGGTACTTCAAACGTCAAATTTAAGGAGCGGGGCAAATCCCAAAGCACAGGAAGAGACACAACACACACAACCTGCAGCTCATCTTGGACAGGACAAACTAAAATTAAAAATTCTTTAGGTTCTTTCAGATCTCCACAGGATCACCCAAGGCCCTAATTTTACATAACAGATTCAGAAAAGGCCATAGCATGAATATTCACCCCTATCAAGAGAAGTTAGGTATCCAATGGTATTGCAAGTAGGAACCTCACTACAACTGTAAGCAACTATGTATCTGCAGGATTTGGCCCCAGGTTCAATCCACTCAATCCTCCCACATCAAAATTTGCACTACTGTGAGCGGAGAACAATACCCACAGGGCTGTGCAGCTTACCTGCTTAATACATGCAAAGCTCTTTAGCATTCTCCTCCAATCCCCTCATAGATGTGCAAATCATTGTATTCTCCCTGTTCTGGGATAATGACTTTAATTTGATGACCTACAGAAGGAGGCCTCTCAGCAGGGGCATTTTCATGTGAAGGCTCCCTCAGCGGGTGCTGCTGGGGGTGAGAATTCTGACAGTGTAGCTCAAGGGACAGATGCTGAAGGAATCTCTTTCATTGCTCTCCTGCCCTATCACAACCATATTGTGATACCTTCACAAACAGAGAATTTGAAAGAGGCACTGGAACAACATGGAAGTGAATAAAGGACCTTGGAATTAATTGGTTAAGCCTGAGTTCGGAGCCTGAAGAGGAAACCAGACATTTTTAATGATATGATAGGTTAAAATAACCTTTGTTTATTTTACACTGAACACACCCTACTCATGCAACACAATCAGTTACTGGGACAGCTCAAAGTGGTTATTCCAACACCTTTGCTTCTCCTGTGCAGTTTATGCCATTTTGAACACTGTTCTTCAACAGTGCACCATGCTAAGGATGGCGCTGGCAGAAAGCCTCTGTTTAACCCAAATGCTGCTCACGTGTGTGTTTGCAATCATGACTATAAGCACTTGAAATAAGTGATCCATAAAATAACTTAACAGGACCAGCGTCTCCCAAATGTGTTTTGGAGGTCAGCTCCAAGTCTTCAGACTTTTGACTCATTTCTGTAAAGAATATTTTATTGTAACTCTCAAACTAGAAAATTTTATCAGCAAGTATAATGTTTGATTTTTTCCCCTCATAGGTATTTACACTGATGGCATCATTCACATTGTTATACCTACAATTCAGTTAAATATTAAAACTATTTTCTGGAGCAGATTTCCTATTCATCTGCAAGACTTTCAAGGTTAGCTTAAAAGGCCTCCATAGAAGTAGATATTTTCTTCAAATTTGTGGAAAAGATAATTTAAATTTTTAGTTACTGTCTCAAATGAAAAAAATCTCCTACTGGTAGGAAATTCAACTCTTGAAATGGAAGCTACTTTCAGTGTCCTTTGAAGTGGCTTAGTTAATGCAAATTCTCACTGAAGTGGAGAATTAAGGAATAGTCAGGCTAAGTAACAATCTTTTCAAGGGCAGTATCACAGAAATCTTACTAACCGTTGGAATAATTCTGCTTAACTAAAGTAAAAGTACATGTTTGGAACAGTATGAACAAAATGTCTGCCCACCTTCCCTTTTTTTTCCCCCCCCAAAAAAAAAAGGAAGAGAGGAAGAGAAAAAAGGAAAAAAAAATCCTTCACCCAACAGAAAAACCCAAGAGTTACATGCCAAAGTTCTAGTAATACTTGTGAGTCATCCCATCACTGGGCAACTGCATCTGAACTATATGTTGAGCTATTAGAGAAGGAGTGCTGTGTATATATAAGGTTCCACATGTGTGACGAGAAGTTAAAACTGCACTTTACAGATTTTTGTATTTCCACGGATTTTTCAAGTTCCGTGGATTCTTCCTTTTGTGATATGCATCTTGTTAGTTCAGGATTAATTATAAGGTCATATCAAGAAACACACAGAGAACTATTTTTTAAATATTTCCTTTTCTATACTTTGTGGTTCAAGTCAGTACGCCGATGGTATGTGCACTTCTCCACTTCTGCTGGTAGATGGTGGTGGTGGGGAATACAGCTTATCCCCTCTGACCCAAAGCTGGGAACAGAATGGAAAAAAAAACCAAACCAACCTGTGTTCTGTTTGCCTCTGGCCTCATCACGCTGTAGGATGTTACTTGCATTGAAGGAAAAACCTGGGAGGAAAGGAGGTAAAATAATTGCGATAACAAGGAAACATACTAACACCCAACCTAGTTTTCTAGAACAAAAAGCAGAGAACAGCTGCGACAGCAACTGGAGTAGCACTCGGGTTTTTATCTTCTCATTACTAGCCCCTGGAGGAAACATCAAAGATGCCATACAACATCTCTGAAAACAGAGAGAGCTAAAGCATTACACATCCATTGAGGCTTTGGGTTTTTTCAGACTCCTTCTGTTTCATTTTGATAGAAGAATGTCCCTTCAGAAATATTCGGCATTTTTACAGAGGTTTACTGAAGTCTGCAAAAAGATACCTGATTTGAATTAACTTACACCAATTCCCTTTTTTCCAACACAGCTGGTTTGGTAACCAGCTGAAAAACAGATATTAATGTTTCACTGCAGAATTACAAACATGTTTTTAAGTAAAGAAAATATTAAGAAAAAAATTACTCTAACCATGAAGCTTTTGTAGTGAAAGACCAGACCAAGAAAAACAATGCTGCTTGCATTTTTATAGCAAAGGACTGATATAATCCTTTCAGTAGATGCGATGAAATTCTTCATAGAAGTGAGTATCCCCAAGGAAAGAGATTTCAGGCATAATCTGAATATCATAGTTCTGTGGGAAGTGACTTTTCAGGCAAGGTGTAACAAGATCTCCAAAGTCCTGTGTTTGTGACAAAAAAACCAAACCAAAACCTCACCAGGAAGTTTTTCATATGATAGATTCATATGAAATACTGCAAGAGAAAAGATCTTTATCAATATACAATTGCATGAGATACTTAAAATGTTTTAAGTGCTCCCAAACCCAAAACCACACCTGCATCATAATTTTAAATATAAGCATATGATAGAATCAAAATTATTTGCTTATGTTCATCTATGAACGACAGCTAAAGGTAAAAATGAAACTAGTAATTAGTAAGCAGTAGTTACAGCTTTATTCCAAAAAAGAAAAGCAGCTTTGACAAGATTTTAGACCTCCACCAGTATACACCAAAAATAATTTTGAAAATAAAACCCTAAGATGCATTTAAGTAGCAGTTTTAATTTTTAGTAAATGTATTTCTAGATCCAAGTACTCACTGGATACAAATACTACAGATATGATGAGAAACTACACAAATTTTCATGTAACTTCAGCTCAGCTTCACATACTGAACAGCAGCATAAGGCAACCCAGTTTTCCAAAACTATTCATATCACTAAGCTTAAAGTCCAGTTTTCTTTACTACTAACTTAGTTACAAAGAAGAAAAAAACAAATCCAAGCAATGTTACCGCTCCCATTTTTACTAATCTTTTTTCCAAGGTGGGTGTTTTTTCTGGAAGTTTCACTCGGCTGGGGCCATTCTTCTGTTCATGCTGAGGCAGATGTTAAGTTCATGTAAAAAGTGCAACAACAACAACAAACATTAGTGTGAAAGTTTGTGAAGTATGTGATAAAGTACCCAGTCCTAAGAATCTGCATGTATCTAGGACTGAGATTGTTTCTCTCTCACTATCTGTCTGTACCCTACTTCAACTGAAATAAATGTGTGCAAACCTTTGTCTCATCTGATGCTCAATCATTCTGTAATATATGTTAGAAAAACAGTTTACAAACTTAATTCATCAGGAGTGAAACATACTGCTAATAGATGCTACAAAAATCTAGTAACAAAACATTTAAACTCCAATCATCAAATATTTTAACCAGAACCTTTGCCATTTAATTACTAAAACTACTGTTTATTAAAACAGCAAGTTAAATATGTAACAGTTTAGACTTCCTTGAAATTAAAGGGAGAGTGCAAAGAACCTTACAAGGGCCTGCTGAAATACTTGCTGAAGCTGAGTGGAGCCCTGTCATGAAGTGCAGCAGGGTTCGGTTCTGATTCCCTACCTTAGTTTATAAGGCCATCACATTTACTGTGCTTTCAAAAATTGTATGCTACAGACATAATATGTACTGCTGGCAGAGACTTGCCATGACTAAGCTGAGCAATCAGTACTGAAGATTTTAAGGGAATTTATACAAACTTATTATCTAAGAAGTTTAACTGTTTCACTTGACACTTTTCATAATAAATGTTTCAGTGCTCTACTTATTCAAGAGTGCCCCATCATAAACTAAGTAGCACAAAAATGTTTTGTATTAAAGTCTTCATCAATGAAATTCATAAAACACTACAGTATTTTAACAGAACAGGAATTACATTTTTCAAGTAATTAGAAGGCTGATGTTTAACACCTCTGTTTAACACTGGGTACAGAGCCACTGTGCTTCATCTTGACGGTTACAAAACCTCAAGTACAGATGATAGCAAAGTCAAGTGGCTCCTAACTCGGATCCCTCCCAACCCTTATAACTGGCCTGCATGTACAGGAGGCAAATATATACATATAATTGATTTCTGCATATGCAAAAAAAGGAACACAAATAGCTAAAAAGTTATTTGCCACAATCTCAACCTACCTTTTAAATACATTTGGTGTTAAGTGATTTATTGGGAGAAGGCTGTTTTATCACATTAAATTTACTTAAACCACAGGAAATTGCATTAGTAGCATTATACTCAAGGTCTGAGTTCCACATGGCTTCGTTCAGCAACAGATTCCTTTCTGACACTGATGCTCCATTTACTCTATCCCACCGGCCATTTCTTTTACTAGCCTATTACTTAAAATGACCCCATCTGACAAGAGCGTGTCATTGTGTTGGTTTGAGAATGACTGATGTGGTGCTAACATCTAGCCTTGACCTCTCCCACCCTTCTCTTTTGTCACTCTGCAGTTATCTGGGATGCCCCTCATTCAATCCATAAAACTTCAGTATCTTTCTTGAGTCAGTCATTCCAAACAAAAGATTCCTTAATTAAGAAGTAAGAGTGTAAGTATTCAGAATGGCATTTATGCCACAGTGGTTGTCCAAGAACACAGGGATACGTTCCACTTAATTCTTTCCTGCAGTAGAAATAAAAAGATTGACTGTGTCTTCCTTTGGAGACTCTGTCCATGCTGCTGTGGAATATTCTAGATTATTTCTCATTCTGCCCATGGAAAGGTGGAAGGGGGAAAGGTAGATGCAATGTCCAAGCTACAGCTAAAGAGCCTGTGCCAGACCAAGGTACAAACATTTCACTGATGGATGCCACATGTGAGGTTGCACTCAGAAACTTGTACCCTGTGTTTAATAGCCTCATTTGCACGCACTCACCTTCTCTACCAAGTCCTTCAATTTGGTAACTTCTCCTCCCAGCTTCTCAACACTGCAAAGCAAGTCTTTGCAGACTTCAATAAAACTTTCAGTCGGTGCCCACCGCAGTATTCTCTGTTGATAGTTAAAGTTATTTGCCAGTTATTGTAGATTACAACTTAATACTCTTTAGTTAATGTATCATAAAAGGGTCAGAAAAAGTTTATAACTGCATTTATGCTGGGTTTTCATTGTACAATTTAGGCACAACATGACCTACTACACTCTATCAGCCTTAGTGGGAACCTGTCACCTTAACTCCCCTATCAGCAGAAACACCTTTAATTGGGTAGCTTAACTCTTTGAAATAAATTATTTAAAAAGGCGTCCTTTAGAGAAAGAACACTGGACAGCTGAATATAACTATACAATAATCAAGATGGTTGACAGTACTCCTATTTTTCATTTTGTAAGGTAAGGTAAGAATAAGGAGAGGGACCTCACTGTGGCCTTCCAGTACTTGAAGGGAGCTTATAAACAGGAGGGAGAGCGACTTTTTACATGGGCAGGCAGTGACAGTACAAGAGGAAATGGTTTTAAACTAAGAGAGAGGAGATTTAGGTTAGATATTAGGTGGAAATTTTCACCCAGAGGGTGGTGAGGCACTGGAACAGGTTGCCCAGAGAAGCTGTGGATGCCCCATCCCTGGAGGGGATCATTCAAGCAGGTCGGATGGGGCCCTGGGCAGCCTGATCTAGTGGTTGGCAACCCTGTCCACAGCAGAGGGGTTGGAACTAGATGATCTTTAAGGTCCTTTCCAACCCAAGTCATTCTATGATTTTATGATAATATTCTAGAATAGAATAATATACTCTAAATTAATCTTTCTTTCTTTGAATTAATACCTTCTGTGAATTTTGGAGGAAATGCTGGTTTATGGTCCGCACAGGAACGGTCAGCTTACTACACTCTTTATTCAGCTTCTGCAGAAACTTGAGGCATTCATCTCCACTACAAAAATAAAACAATATTTTGTTATTTGTTAAATGTTGTAACTTTTTACAAGCTAAATAGTATCTACGTATTTCCAACATGAGTGAGTCAGACATGCAGTTTCATTGCATAAAAAACAAACCCAACCAAAACCAGTCTCATTTTAACACAGGGTAGTTAAACACTACATTTAACACCTTAGCAAGTCTGGTCCCCAACCCCGCTTCTGGAAGGACAACAAATCACTAAGTTTCCTATAACATTCAGCTAGTAAGACACACTGAATGCTGAGAAAGTGCAACCTAAAAGCTTTTCAGAAACATTCTATTAACTTCCACTTCTGTTTCTAACTCTCATCACTCCTGTATTATCAATGAAAACACGAGTAATTTTGTAACACGCTACGCATAATAACTGCAAATCTGTTTTCTTGTGCATATGTGCATACAGATCAGTCCTGCAATGCCAGAAACAGAGAATTTATAGCCAATTTTATGCTGACATATCAATACTCCTGATTTGCACCTTACATTTTTGAGGAAGATGTGCGGGGAAAAAAAAAATCTGGTTTGAACTTTGGAGCTATGATTCAAATGACTAGGTTAGAGTCATCTAGTCTCCAGCACAATGGAAGAAACAAAAATCCAACAACACTGACTTGGCCCCCGAATCAAGAAATACATCCCTCAAAGCCTAAAACATCTGATGTTATCTACTTTGAAGAAAATATATACTTAGTGGTCAAATACAGGCAGGAAGACAACTCTGAAAATTAGTTTGATCAGTATCACCAAAGAGTGGAGAAAAGGATAGAAAAATCTGACAGACTAATTTAAATGCTAAATTTCTAGAGCTTCCACATAACACTCAGTCAATTTACTTTACTGTAAGCCTCAGAGAGTGTTAGTTATAAGTCAGGGTGCTGGCCAGAAAGCTGTTGCCATTGACTGGGCAGATGAAAAGGGGGCAAGGAAGATCACCCATTTGTTTTTAGAGAGCTCTCAAACCTTGAAACTCCCAAGAAGCACCTGTATCTCCAGTAGAAGTTTCCACTAGCTATAAACTATTCAGGTGAGTAACAAGCAGGGCCAAAAAAAGTGACAATTTTAAGTTCCCATTACAGGACTTCCCCTTATATTTACAGAAGGATCTGAGTAAACCAATTCAGACCCCAACGCTATCTTTTCCCATGGGCAATCTGCTACTAAACTCAAGTGCCATATGCTCACACCACCTTACTCGCTGCTGCTTCTGATGGCAAAATGGTTTACATTAAATTTGCCAAACAGCTAAACTCAGCTACACAGCACTGTGGTGCAAGTATCTAGAGACTGAATTTTAACCATAGAATGTTTTCCTCCCACTCTGGCACAAGATAGTTAATGAGCAAAGCTTCTACCACTGCTCATGGTATCTGTGACTGGCAACACTGCTGAACTGTTAAGACTTTAACACTTAAAACAAGTATACAGAAGCATTACTAGGGATGCTGGAGGTTAAAAACCAAGCCTGTTCTTTTTTTTTTTTTTTTAATGAACATGAGGAAGTAAAAAAGCTTATTAGCTTGTTTTTATAAAATAAAGTTATTTATTTCAGAACAATATAACTGAACATTTAAGGTAAAAAAACCAAACACTAAACAAAATAATCACATCTGGAGATAGTCTGACAGTTTCTCCCTCATTACTACAGTCAAGCCCCACTCCTGGAAATTTCCTTCTACTTAGATAATTTTTTTATCTGGCTATGATCAGTTATAGCACCTTCTGTGTTTTGTCACAAAGGAAATTATTTATAGGAATTCTGGAAGGATTCTCAGAAAAGTAAAGTATATAATGGGCATGAAATGGGGATGAAAAAAGGGAAAAGAAAAACATTTATACTTCTCAGACTTCTTCATTATTATAACAATAATAATTTTTAAAAAAAGTTTTCATATAATTTTGTATCTGTTGCAGTGATATGTTCTTATATTTGCAAATGGAAATAACATTTTCAAAAAAGATTCACTTCTTAAAAAAATTAATAGCTGTCAAAACACCAGTGGCTAAACAGTGCTAGACACCCTGTGAGTTTATAATCAATCAGTTCAACATTTTCTACTATGTTAGTTTTTCTAGGACTCAATGACGGATTTTCCTTCTCACAGAATGACTCTGAACAAGTGGGAAGTAAAATCTTTATATAATAGCATGTAAACACAGCCTATGATTTTAGTCTCAAGGTCAGATTCCTAGAATACATGTCAAGCCATTTTCTAGAAAACTATGCAGTGTTTGCCATAACTGAAGCGCTGTCATATTCTGTGTACTTCAATCTTTAATCAATCAATCAATCATTTTCTGGTTTTGAGAACTACATATGATCTAAAACCATACTGTACTAGGAATTCCATATGTCACTGGTGAGTGAGACTGTACTGTCCATCACGTGGGTTTTTTATTGTGTTTGGCCATATATGCAGTGAACTGTTAATCTTTTTGTATTTCTCCACTTATTCCCTCTGTTCAAATTTTTAAGCTTTCTGCTTGAATGTATCACAGAATCACAGAATATTAGGGATTGGAAGGGACCTCAAAAGATCATCTAGTATATACTAAGCACTACTATGGGCCAATTTTATAAAAAGTATACATTTCTAGCATAAAAAACCATGAAGCCTAAACTGGGCAAAGTCCTCTCAAACTGCAGATAATGATCCCCTGCTGAAGAGTCAGCATGCTTTTCTAGAGGTGCCTAACTTGGACACCCAGATGCCTGGCCTACTACCTCAGCTCAGCAGCAAAGCCTCTATTCTAAGAGGAACAGTTTAGGTGCTCTCAGACCATTTATGGTGTATCCATACCATACTGGTTTGTATACTTTTGCATGCTGGAACTTCAGTTCTTCAGTCTTACAGCATATGTACTAGTTTGCACCTGGATTCTCTTCTGGAAGTACACAGGTACTTGTTTTGATGGAGAAATCTTCTTACAGAATAGAAGCATCATCAAGGTCCTGTGTTAGGACATGAACACCCTGCTCTCCCAGCCCACCTCAGTTTTTGAAGAGCTTTTCCAAATGCCTTGTATGTCCTCCCACATCCCACAGCTCAGACTTGGCATCAGGCAGCAAAAACATACCTCAAGCAGGCTGCAAAGCCTCTTCTGTATAAACACAGCAATGGATGCAGATACAGGCACAGTGCCAGCATCAGGAGCAATCAGTATACGTAAGAATGACTAGACAGGACCAGAGTGCATACTAGACAGACTCAGGTAACCAAGGCACAAAAGACAATGCTATGGCAGGACCACATCATGACACTGCTGCTAATACACACTGTCAGTGTGACTCAGCTGCCTCCAGAGGATGGTGACATGTACAGAATGAACATGAACTAGTCAAGAGGAAGATACACATACTTTAAAGAGCAGCTGAACCCTTTCTTTTCTAGACAGTTATTTAGAAAGTTATTTAGTTATTAGTTAAATAACTAGAAAGTTATTTAATGAGTAGACTGTATGCATGGAGGAGTTTTTTCTAGCCAGATCATTGCAAATAAGGCAACACAAAGCTATGCAAATAGTCTTGGGACTGGGAGGAAAGAAAAAAAGCACTGAGAACCTAACTTACTAGTGATGCAGCTATGGTACAAGGAAGGAGCAGTATTTCCAACCCACTCTAAGTTAAACAAACACAGTTCAACTGACTGAAACCTCTGAAAGGCAAGCCACAGTTTTCTGCCCAAGTCCATTTCTAGAACTTTTGCAAATTAAAATATCAAACTAACTCTATTTCCAGGAGTAATTCTTTTAAAGCTCTAGGAAGTAAAATGAGGAAAGATATGAGCACAGAATCAAAATTCAAGTCTAGGTCTCTCTTCTGGAAAAACTACTATTGACACAACAAAATAGAGGATAAGAGTCACATTTATGATTTAAGACAGACATGTACAAGTAATTAATCAACTGAAAATTAAAGCCCTATGCAGAAATTATACACATCTCTCCTTCCCACACATCTTATTATTGCATCTTATAATCAGATAAATTTGATCGCAAGACTTAACAGAGCCTGCTTTGTGTACATACATAATGGAGAATTACAAATACCACATCATGTGGGGTTTGTAAAGGTCCATGATGCTCCTGAAGCATGGGGAGGCAAGGAGGGCAAGATCCCATCTCCATGGAGAAATAACAAAATGTGCTCACTGAAGCTATCAGAGAAATTAAAGAATTAATTAATTAATAGTGGAGCCCAAGAAGCCAGTTTCAGAGTTTATTATATGAACTCAAGGTAGTGAAAACCCAACACTGCAAGACAATGAAACCCTGTTTGAGGTACAATGAAAGAATTAATCACTCAAAAAGATGGCCAAAGTAATGGCATATAATGGCAACATAACCCATAAATGGATTCCTATGACAGGCATCTATGCTTCCACCTAGAATCATAGAATGGTTTGCGTTGGAAGGGACCTTAAACATCAGCTAGTCCCACCCCCCCTGCCATCAGCAGGGACACCTTCCACTAGACCAGGTTGCTCAAAGCCTCACCCAGCCTGGCCTTGAACACTTCCAGGGAGGGGGCATCCACAGCTTCCTTGGGCAACCTGTTCCAGTGTCTGACCACCCTCACAGTGAAAAACTTCTTCCTAATATCTAATCTAAGCCTACCCTCTTCCAGTTTAAAACGATTACCCCTTGTTCTATCACTAACTGCCTTTGTAAAAAGTCCCTCCCCAGCTTTCTTGTTGGCCCCTTCAGGTACTGGAAGGCTGCTATAAGATCTCCCCGGAGCCTTCTCTTCTCCAGGCTGAACAGCCCCAACTCTCTCAGCCTGTCCTCATAGGAGAGGTGCTCCAGCCCTTGGATCATCCTTGTGGCCTCCTCTGGACTTGTTCTAGCTGCTCCAGGTCTTTCTTGTGTTGGGGGCTCCAGAACTGGACGCAGTACTCCAGGTGGGGCCTTATGAGAGCAAGGCCCTTGCCTTTCTTTGTACAAACCCACACCTACCACCAGCCCTCATAATCTACTAAACTGCATACTCTCATGAATGCTATGCATGGAGTAAGGTGTGAGAGAATTTTACCTTTGGGCTATAGAAAACAATGTAGTCACCTTAAACAGTTCATATGTGACTTCCATTTCCTTAGATATACAGTTAATACCTCAATTCCAGCTTCACCACTTCAGAGAAGTCTCCAATTCTCTTTTCTTCCAGTTGTAGCTCATTGATAGCATCTGTGAGCTTCTGTTGATCTCCAGGATTTGTAATGCCAATCTAAATTTAAAGATTAATTCCAAATATGATTTACTTTTAATACTTAATAGACAAAACAGCACAGTACCATTTATTGTACAAGCTTCTAATTATTAAGGGTCAAAATAAGTTGCTTTTAAGTTACTGCAACCAAATACAATGTATGTAAATGCCAAAGGAAAAAAAAAACTAACATAGGAATTATTCAATGATGCAAAACAAAATTACAAGAGCTGAGGAAGAGCCAAGCTGAAATTGCACAGGATATTCAGAAAATCTGTTTAAGGTTTATTAAAAAAATTAATAGCAGTTTTTGTAAGTACACCTGTGTTGTAAGGATGTTACACTTATCTGTTTCAGAATCATCTCAGTCATTTCTTACAGCAAAATAACCAACCATCATGAGGGTGATACAGCATTAACTCAGAAAGAAAGAATGGAAACTATCAAGTCAGCATCAAAGGGAGAATTTTACAGAAAGAAGACAGATTTTAAGAAGGGCTTTTACAAACTTTTGGGTGTGTATTTTCTTCTACTTATAGAAATTGGTCTCATAAGATATGACACCTCTTTCCAAAACCTTATTTTCTTATAGAATCTAATTTAAAAAATAAGTTATGTCTACAAAGAAATCTAGTTGGTTCACACTACCTCCCAAAACTCAAATGATCAGACACTAGTAGAGAGAGAATAAACAGTCTGTAAAAGCAGTTTTTAAATATCTGAAGGACAGCATACTTATAAATTTGGAATAGATTTCCCGCCTCAAATTAAGACCAAGCCTAAATACTACTTGACATCAGCTTATACAGTCCCTAAGCTCAAATTAGTTCATTTTCTATACTCGTGTCCAATGCTGCAAACAACAACAACAAAAATTTCAGAAGTGTTCAGAGCTTTTTGTCTTTTTTATAGCTGAAGAAAAGCACAATTTTCTTCATAAGATAAACAGACTGTGTAACTGAGATTCTCCAAGTGATGCCTGGGACAGAAAACATTGTCAGCTGTGTTATCCATCAACTATCTCAGATTAAAATTTAACTCACATTTAAATCCTAGGCTGAGAATTTTCTTGCAGAACACTTACATAAAGGAAAAAGATAGTCCATTTGTCGAAAGATAAGTGCTTCTGTGGCCCATTCAGTACTTTTCTTTGCTTATCTGACAGGCTGCTGTGCAACACGGGACTTCTGATGTTAGCAGCCCTAAGGATGCTTCTCCACACAAGTGAAAAACCTCGTAATGCCAGCTGCAAGTATGAATTTGTTCCAAACTCTCCAGCTGAGTACCTGGACTCAGCAGGAGTGGATCACTCTGGAATTTGAGACCACAAGGAACCCAAAGTCTCCAAAACTGGGGCTCTCACTGACATCTCGAGGACCTGAAGTTCCCTGCTGCAGCCTCAGAAATCTGTAAGAAGTTAGTGTTTGCAGTCTCACAGATTTCTGTAATTACTGCAGAAAGAATTTTGACCGGATAGCTGACAGTGCACACCACATCGAAATGCCAGGCAGTCGCACTTCCTTGGATGGTACCAAACAGAAATTCTAGGGAAGAGAGATACCTAGAGTAATGCTTGTTTTGCATGAGACCACAGTTTCTGACACCCACTGTTCACTGTGGCTCCATAAAACAGTCCTTCAGGTTCTCCACCAGGTATTCAGAAATCACAGCTAGCATGTAACTATAGCCTCACAAGTGTTCCTTTAAACATTTCAAAACCACCTCATAAGTCTATGGACAAGTAAGTTCTATGGTAATGTAAAATCCAAACAAGATTAATTGGGAGTTTAAATGCAGGTGTCAAGAACTTCTGAGTTTCCAACAGGTTGCCATGGGTACCTGAAAAAATTGTAGTCAAGTCTCTTTGAGGAGAGGAAGGAGAGTCCTGGCGCTGTGATATGGAAGCACACAGAGCAGATAATTTTCTAACAATGAAGTTAAACTTCTGGGTTATATTTTGAATTCTGAGGTGTTAACTTTTTGTTATGCATTCTCAAATCAGGAGAACAGGATGCCAAATTCTCTCATTCTAATAAACATCTGAGAAAGGAATCTTTGTAGTTCTAAAGGCATCCAGAAGTAAAATTACTTCTGTTTCTATCTTGTGAGACAAACGCTCAAAAACACTAGACATAAAAGATCTGAGTGTTATGAGTAGCACAGAATCAGACAAAAACCTCCAAGTGTTGAATAGACATGTCCCAGTATACTGAACAGACTTCCCTCAGTATGGAGCAGTTTATAAGCTTAAGGAATGCAAGGATTTCAGCTTGAAAGAGTCATTGTTTAGGCTCTGTTGTATAATACAGATAAAGATATTTACAGAGAAAATATCTTCCTGATATTGTTTGATGGAGGAAAGTGCATCATGTAAGTGACAGGATTTCTCCCCATTTCTCTGGATACAAAGCAGCTTGGTTCAGAGGCATCCATCAGAGGTCATCATTAATCTTTGTAGTAATAAGATCCAGGTTCTTTAAAATAGCTGGCTGTTAGTTGAAGATCTGCCATCACACTAAAAACTTTCAACTCTGGAGTTACAAGGAAACAGATTAGTTTTGTTCTATCAGCAGTGTGGGGAGAAACTGTTAGTGGAGCTCTAAAACTAGACTGCATCAAGAATTCAGGATAACTTATGAAGTGCTAATAAAGCCAGGAGTGTTATGTCATTTTTTAAATTCTCAGTTGAAGACTCACTAATTAATTTACGTCCATGCACAGCATTAATTTTCCAGGAACTCTTTCCTGCTGTTGCAGAGCCAAGAGGTAAAACAATTATGTTCCTATAGATATTACCCTCCTGTGCAAGAGCAGCTGATCCAGGTATTTATTTCAGTTTGTCCAAAAAAGTCCTTTTTATAATAGGGAGCCTCAAACATGTTAGAACACTGAAACAGAAGTAAACAGTTGGTATGAAATCATACTTCTTTGGTGGAGGAACTGTAAGGCTAAGCCAGTCACTAAAGTCCACAACTCACTCCTCTTCCCCTCATGTGCCCTGGACAAAACCAAGTAATGATTATGACAAAACAGACAATCAATATAGACATATACTCAGTCAGATTTGCAGCTTAATGCAATCACAACCAAGACAGCAGCTCACAGTGATATGAAGAAAGCCACTAAAATCTCCTTTAAGAGCAAAATTCCTGTCAACAGGGGCTTTAGAATTCATTTAAAGCCCACGCCAGGATGCTGTCCAATGGGCACAATACTGGGGCTTCAGAAAAGCAGTAACATCAGAACATGCTGATATGCCTCTTTGAACTCTTCAAAATCTCTTCATTGATAAAGCTCCCTATAATCTCTCTCTCTAAGAATACAGATTTACTTGAGTTCTGTTAAAACACCGAACCTCTACTCAGTTACAAGACAAAGCTTCACACAAAACTTCCTTGTGACACTAACTCTGAAGGAATATTAACATCTGTACACAAATATTGGTTCCAGCTGTTAGAACACAAGCCTCCTTGGTACAAAAAATAGGAGGGGAAAAAAGCTGACATTGAGTACATCCTCAGTAAAAGAAAGACATGGATCTGTTGGAGTGGGTCCAGAGGAGGGCCACCAAATTCATCACAGGGATGGAACATCTCTCCTATGAGGACAGGTTGAGAGAGTTGGGGTTGTTCAGCCTGGAGAAGAGAAAGCTCCAGGGAGACCTTATTGTGGCCTTTCAGTACCTGAAGGGGGCCTAAAAGAAAGATGGGGAAAGACTTTTTAGCAGGGCCCATAGTGACAGGACAAGGGGTAAAGGCTTTATATTGAAAGAGGGGAGATTTAAACTAGATAAAAGGAAGAATTTTTTTACAATGAGGGTGGTGAAACACTGGAACAGGTTTCCCAGACAGGCGGAAGAAGCCCCATCCCTAGAAACATTCAAGGGCAGGTTGGATGAGGCTCTGAGCAACCTGATCTAGTTGAAGATGTCCTTGCTCAGGGCAGGGGCGTTGGACTAGATGACCTTAAAAGGTCCCTTCCAACTCAAACCATTCTATGGCTCTATGACATGGTTAACATCAGTAGCAGGGAGCAAGCTTGAAGCAGCTATTTTAATGAGGTGTCTTTGGTATCCCAGATCAGGTACAGGGTGCTCAGAAGAGTCCTGCAGCCTGAAGTACTTATGCTGTTCCAAGGATACTCCTATAATTGGATTTTATTATGGCATCCTCCTGTAAACACAGGAAGTCTTTCATTTCCCACAGGAATAATTCCAGCAAAGACTAAGGAAAAGCAACCACCCTATCTTAACTGGAAACTGAAACCTTGTAATAATGCATCACTTCGTCCCCGATACCAGTGAAATACCAACCTTCCTAGCCGCAGTAAACTGTAAGAAAACAAGTCTTCTCTCCTTCTCTTCCTCCTCTCCTAAGGTTTTACAAACCCGTGTGTGATATGAGATTCCACAATGGAAGAGAGCTCTCATTTTTCTTTCAATAGAAATTATCACCTCACAAAGGAGGACCACATTTATGGTTGTTTAGGACTATCTACTGCTAATCCTAGCACTGATTTCCTTTCTGGGAAAACATACTTAAATACTAAAAATAGTACTAACTAAAATTCAATGCAGAACTATTTCCTGCTCACCCCAACTGCCACATCATTGCAGTAAAGAAATACTTGGGGCTTCCACTTCATAGTCACATATAGGTAGAGAAGATGCAAGAATTCAACTCACAATTCAAGGCTGATCAGATTACATACTTTAGAAAAGGTCTGTCTATATTCACATTACAATTCAAGAATTTGCAGAAGATTCTGAAAACAGGTCTTTAAAAAAAAAAATTCTTACAATTCAACATTTATAAAGAGAAGTTACAATATCAAAAACATTTAAGAAAGAGGAGAAAACAAAATTAAGATCTAAAGTAGTAAACTGACCTGTATTAACTCATCTTTTTGCATGAACAGAAGTTGTCTTAAAGCTATACCTCTTTCCTGTACAAAACAAAGGGTTTTCTGTTATCAAAAATAATTTCAGAAGAAAACACTGTTTTCACTTAATTTTTTTCACTTTTTTTTTTTCACTTATTTTTTTTTTTTAGTATTCAGAAACAAAACCAGCTACCCAATACCATTACTGAAGTAATGGGAGAGTCCTCCCTCTACTTTAGAAACATCACGTTGAGACTAATGCACATAATCACAATTAAGCAATCCAATCCAGTTCGCTGCAGTTTAACTTAACACTTTACATATAAACTTCTGTTTAAAAAATTTATTTGAATTAATTTAACAAATTTATTTGAATTAATATACTTAAAGCAACAGAACTTTTTTAATGCTGTAGGTGCATTTTGCTTTCATGGATTACTTTACAGACAGCAGGTACAACACAAACTTACCTTCAATAATCCTATTATGTGTTCTAGGCCAAGACCATGTAAAAACACTTTCATGTCATCAAAAGTTGAACAGGAACTGTAAATATAAATAATGTAATTCAAGATAAAAACAGTGGAAAAAAAAACAAACAAACAAAAAGACATCCAGAACGAAGTACTACAGAAAAGCTCTCCAGACAATGCACTGGGGAATAACCTGAAGTTGTACACACCTGCTGATGACAGCAGTATCTCAAACATAATGGGATACCACCTAATTTATCAAAATTCTATAAATTGCTTTTCTGTCTAATTGAGTTGAATTGAGCCTAAAGGGAATGATTTTAATAAATAGGTATAATTTTAAGTAGCAAAATGTTCTAACCAAACCTTAAAAGTTAGGTTGCAAAAGCTTGAAAAATTTGGAAGTGGTGTTAAGGAAGATAACTGTATTCTTATCAAATAACATTCATATAACTTGGATCCAACCCACAACTGTTACCCTTCTGGTTCCATTTAAACCAAAAAAGGTTATCAAGAAAACAGGAATGTCTACAATGTAGTGGAAATTAGTCTGGTAAGACATCTGTTCTCAGAAGACTACTGTTCAGAAGGTAGACCGAGGAAACAGTGTAATTCACTGTAGGTTCACAGTTTAACGTTTATAAATAAAAGTAAAATATCAATTTGGATTTCTCACTCTACCAAAAGATACAGGGAAAAAATACCTAAACAGCTTTCAACAATCAGATGAACAGCTGTAATGAAGAGAACTGAACCAAAAAGCAAATTATACAAAATGCAGAAAGTACTACCAATTGCTATAGCAACTTCTTTGCCAAAACCCTGCGTTAAGAGGTAGTTTGCTGTCTTATTGTAGGCCCTGAAATGAAGGTTTGTCTCCTTTTCACATCAAAGACTTAAAAAGTTCTTATTAAATAAAAAAGGAGCAAGCAACCCCTCCCCAGAAAAACCCCAAACCAAACAAACCTCTCTGAAAATTACTTTGAATACATAAGAAGATACTTCAGGTTTGCACATTGAGAATGTGGCATTCCAGGATTTCTGGTATTTAAGTATACTTATCCCTTTGTGAGGATGGACACACTAAATCACATATGAAGGAGCTTATACAACTTCCACGCTGTAACAAGCCAATAATTCTGTAAGTATGCTTTATGTCAGCAGGCAGAATATAAAGAGTTTAAAATAACTTTAATGGAGTTTAAAGTCATCATCCCTACCTACAAGTTGCATAGAATTTTGTTATTCTCTGCCCAATTCCTCCCCCCTCAACACACAGACAGCAACAACCAGTCTTTGAAGTAAGCACACATACATCCAAACGTTGCACATACAGCCAATGCCCTTCGACTGGCAAGGGCAGACAGCATGTGGATGACCTGCAGTGACGAAATGTTGTTATTTAGGCAGAGCGCCCAGTTAGCAAAGGTTTTGTGAGCCCTTGGATAACTCAAGACTTTTGGTTCTGCTAAAGGTGCAAGGAAAACTTTCCTAGGATCAAATAAAGGGTTATTCAGCATCCGGACAATAACTTGAAAGCCCCTGAACGAGAAAAGGACCTAATCCAGGAGCTGAAGAAAGCAAATTCCTGACAGGTACGTGCATTTCCTTGTGCAGTCCAGGGCTCTGGAGCCAGGACAATTGTCTAATTAGGATAGCAGACAGCAATGACTGAAGTTACACTCACTATCTAAGGATGACAACAGCAAGGATTACAAGTGATACTCACTGAGCCTGCATGGCAGGGCACAGTGATATCCAGTACCAGATGATGCATTAGGAGCAACTGAGAGAACAGAGACTTGAGAAGACAACTGGGAATGCCTGTGATGAAAATTATGCAGGCAAATGGCAGGACGGAGACATCCAGCTCAAGGAACTATGATGGAGTAAACACAGGTATCAGTGTACCTCTTGACTATCACTAGATTAAAAAAAAACCAAACCAACAACTCAGGGGTTGTTGTGGGTATGTGTGTGTGTGTGTGTGGAAATGATCAAGCTGTATTTGTAAGAATAGGCATTTAACAGCCAGACAGCTGGTATACTCCAGTGGACTGTTTCCCAAAACTAAGAGTTCTACTAATTACCAGAAATGCTCAAAGTTATGAAACATCAGAACTAGCTATTGTTAATATAAAAATCCTCGAGCTTGACAGAAATGTCTGTTCAACCAAGCAATTGAGTTGCTTATCTGATGCAGAGAAAACCAGTAGAGTCTAGGAAAAGACTATGGAAACACTGTGAAATCCTGAAAGCCCAAGCATCGTCTAATACAGAATTACACTGGCACAGTCAGACATCCGATTGCTACAAAGTATTTTAAGTGGGCTTCGGGATTTCAGTGTCTTATTTTAAAAGCTTATCAAGATTATCCAAACACTGGTAGAATGCCCTCTAGCCAGCATCAAGTTTCAACAGCACTAAATAAATTTGGAGAACTGCTGCATAGTGTTAGTTTATTTCCTTATACCAGAAAAAGCCTGCAAAACTTCCCAAATCACATAAACAGATTAAAAAAATTGAGAGATCTGTTCTAACACTGAGGTCATTAAGTACAGACTCCATCTGTAATGTACTATCTAGGAGTACAAGTCTTTATGAAGAATACTAGAAGACCAATCTACTTAAAAGAATGACACCCTCAAGTCAAGTATACAGGGACTCAAAAGACAATCCCCAAGGAGCAGACAGATCCCACAGGAGACCTGGTTCAAAGATGGGGATATATACCCACACCACCACCTTCAGGAATCTATGTGTAGTGAGACGCAAGAAGAAACAGGACAGCATAGATAACTGATTTTATCAGGCAAAGCCTTCACTCCTCTGCTCCAAGAAACACCTCTAAGATGATTGTGGCTAAAGCACCAGAGAATAAAAATCTGATTGACATACACATTAATCTAGCAACAGAACCTGGTGAGGTTTTGTTTGAACTGAGGTACTCTGTCTGAGACTACCCCAATGTGAACTGCTACCTACTGAACTGCTGTGATCCTAATGAGACAAAACTTGGGCACTTCAAACTCAGCATGACCTGGATGAGCAGTGACATAAAGAATCAACCAGAACAGACTACAGGCACTGAAAGTTGTCCTCTCGAGATCATGAGCTCAAGCTCAGGGAGCCAAGTTGATGGTTCATTGTGGACTTGTTAGCCAACATGTTCTGGGACAAAACTGTATCAGCGATCTTCAAAGCTGCTGAAGCAGGGGCTGATTTCAGTCATAGGACACCTGCAAGCTTCAGGGTCAGGGCCACGCTATGCAAAAAATTCTAGAGCTTAACTGTTGTTCATACTTAATTTTGACTCTTGTATATGGAGGAAAAAAGAAAAGGGCATAGCTCTCCCTGGTGGCACAAAGCTGAAAACAGGCATTCAGTGAAAGCATCAGAAATTTAACATCAAATGAAGACAACCACACAACAAGTAGCAGCCAACAGGGGAGCATACAAATTTAACAGAAATGAACTGAAGTGACATTGGACCCTGGCTCTACTACATTTACACCAAGTGAGAGAGGAAGGAAAGATAGGACCCTGGCTCTACTACATTTACACCAAGTGAGAGGAAGGAAAGATAGGACCCTGGCTCTACTACATTTACACCAAGTGAGAGGAAGGAAAGATCTAGAGCATGCTCTTTTATAATGCAAAGGAACTTTGCAATCTTGAAAAATTAACAGCACATTAATATACTTACTGTAGACTTTTGATAGTGCTCCAAACAATTCACATCAGTACAACTTAATCATTGATATGAACAAACAAATACAACAAATACTTAGGAATGTTTATAAGCTAAAATTACACTACGACTGTATTTACCCAACTGTGCAGTCAGGGGCAGCTGTCAGCAATTTGTAGGTAGTTTCTTGCTGAATAGTTTCATGGAATCTCCCTTGCAAACGATTTGCAGCCAAAGAGAGTAAACTATAAATCTGGAAGAGTCAAAATGAATTAATTACTATTCAAACTGAAAATGCATGAAGAAATACAGGAGTAAGACTACAAAGAGTTCTTTCATAAATTACTACTTACAGGGAACATGAAACATCTGCCACTTCTTCACTACAGCATACAACTACAACGAGGAGTTAAGACTAAACCCATAGAGTTTATCAAGGGCATTTCTGGAATAATCAAATTCCAGAACAATGATGAACTGATGCAGAGCAAAACAGTATCTATAACATTGTCTAAAAAAGTTAGCATCTGTCACCACAGAAGCAACAATACACCAACACACTCATTTCTGTGGTTTGTAGACAAGAGTCCTACATGCTCGAGGGAATAAGCTGTCTAAAGGGCATGAGTCATATAACTTTTTTAATGTCTCTATTTCCAGTGCATATATGGACCCAACATTTAGCAATTTACAACCGACAATCTAAGTTAACTATATCTGACAGACAAGGAATCTTTCACCTGATTAAAGCAGCAAGCCTTCTGCCAGACATCACTATGCATCAGTGATGGAGTCCAGAAACTGAACTGCCCCGTGTGAGTTTTCAGATAGCTACTAGAAAATCCAGCAAAATAAGCAGAACCTCAGTGAATCTAAAGGAATGGTGAAACCACTTTCCTGAAATTCAGCCAAGTAGCCAGTTTATATACATATACACATATACGTATGTGTGGTGGGTTGATCCCGGCTGGCAAATAAGCCCTTAACCAGTCATTCAACTCACTCTCCCCAAGCAGGATGAGGGAGAATCAGAAGGGTAAAAGTGGAAAAAAAAAATAATTAAAAAATCATGGGTTGAGATACACACAGTTCAATAAATGCAGGGGAAAAAACCCCAAAAATGTAAGTGATGCAAAGGCAATCACTCACTGTCTCCCACCAGCAGGCCAGTGCCCAGCCAGCCTCCAAGCAATGGTTACTTCAGAAAAACTCTCTCAACAATTTTATCGCTGAGCATGGTGTTATATGGTATGAAGTATCCCTTGGGTCAGTTGGGGTCAGCTGTCCTGGCTGTGCCCCTTCCAATCTTTTGCTCATACCCCCACCTACTTGCTGGGGGTTGGGGTCAGAGTGAGACATAGAGAAGGCCTTGATGCTGCACAAGCACTGATCAGCAACAGCTAAAATACTGGTGTGTTACCAATACTGTTTTGGTCACAAACCTAAAACACTGCACCATTAGGAAAAAAACCAACTCCATCCCAGCCAAACCTGGTATGTGTAAGAAAAGTATCTCCCCTCCTAGATTCAGTTTCTGCAGACACAGTCTATATGACAACCCAAGGGGCTGTCAACAGCCTGAAGAGCAGACCCCCAAGCAGGAAGAAGCTCATGACCATTAAATATCTGAAAACCACCAGTAACCATGTGAAAGTTAGTGCTTCACAGGTCAAGAGGCAAAACCCACCTCTCAGGTGTGAGGAACCTGTATTACCTCCACATCAGACAAAGTCATGTTGTAAGATTACATGGCCATAGTCTGCTGAACAAGTCATTTATCAAAGGCAGAAAGCATTTGTATCCCCTTTCAGTCACCTGAGCTTAAAATCACTGAGCCTCAGACACTGATCTTGCTGGCCTGCACTGACAGCTCTGTGCATAGTTACTGTTTTTGCTCCTGCCTAGCCCTGGAGTCTGTCAGGGAGGAAGAGAGACAGGAGGAAGGAAGAGAGAGGAAAACCTGTAAAGCAAATCACAATTCACACACATCTTTGAAGAGCCACTGCAAGAAGCCACATCATTAGTAAGATCAACTCAAAGCAAAATACACAGAAATCTGGTCTGATTGATCCACCAATTATCATCTGGTAACAGTAGTAAACAAATTTATTTTAGGAGAATATATGTTGTCTTCAGCAGCTCTCTATTTATGTTGATATCAGTGGCTGCTCTTCCAATGATCTGATGACCAATTTATTTTATTTTACACCCTATTCCCTGCTAAGAATGGATTTTGAAGATGGCCAGTACCAACTGCCCCCCTTTTTAGCTTTAGCCTTTTCATTTTCAAATTCAAACAGAAACTATACACTGCAAGTCAGTTTGGTATCTGCATTCTATCACACACTTTGGCAGACAGAAAAAAACTAACACATTACTTTTCTACTTCTCATAACAACATTACTAACATGAATAATCCCTTGTTCTGTATTCTAAATCTGAAGTCAAGGATTCTGGGATTAAAAAAAAAAAGTTCCCAAAACATTATAGCATTTAAAGCCTTGTGAAAAGTTGGGATATAACAGAAAATAGTCTATATAGATGTAACAGCACAAGCATTCAATTAGCTGCTAGAATTTAGTTATTAATGCAACAATTCTACTGAAAATTATACAATTAATGAACAGATTTTTGAGGCAAAACACAGAATTTTCATTTCAAAGAGAAATTAAATTAAATACCTCTGAATGTTTATTAATTTTTGCTACATCTGCTGCTGTTTTCTCATCCTTAGTCTGTAGATTTTTGTGAGCTCCCAGTTCAAGCAACTTCAAAATTACACTTCTATGTCCATGCTGTGCTGCCCATATTAATGCCTGCAAAGAACAACTTCATTTTATTGAGTTTACATATGCAGCAAAAAAGAACAGAGGTTCAATCAATAACACAACCTTCACAAGTTCTTAAATGGCAGAATCTGGAGACAAAGACAAGTAACGCAAAACAATCTTAAAGAATATACCAATGAGTATTTCTGAGGAATGTGTACTTAGAAACAAGTTTGTAGGTTCTTGCTTTTTAAAGTTTTTATCATTAATTACAACACACAGAAGTAAATAACTTACTGAATATCCATTTTCATCTTGGGCATTTATGTGTGATCCATGAGCAACAAGAAGAGCAACAACCTGAGGATAACCTTTCCTAGCTGCATACATCAGTGGAGTCATTTGTCTCCTGAAAGAAAACAAGATAGGTGAAAAATATTATTTCAAGATCTCAAAATCCAACTGCATTATCAAGTAGAGCATCTCAATTCTGTAAAGATTCTCTGTTCTACAGAAGAACTAAGTAGAGGATGAAAATCGCAAGATACCACATTAATGCTTCAGCACAAGGGTCTATTTAACAGAATGTACAGATTCAGCAACTCATTTATGTCCAGTTAGCAATCTGTAAATATTTTAAGAATTTGCATTTATTTCCTGATTAAAATGAAGCCAAGAAGTCAATTGTTGCCCTTCACGAGAAGGAAACTTAGAGGAAACTAAACTAGTCTCTTCCAGGAGTTTAGAATACAGACTTACAATACTTCTGGGAGAAAAAGTTAAAAAAATATGTAATTCTTTTATCAAGTCCAAATTCAAGTAGTACATTAAAACACAAATAACCTTAACACATCCCAGCTATGAAACACGGTAGCTTGGTGATTAAACTATTTCTGTTTTGGTTCTGAACTACACAAAACCAATTTTTAAAGACCATCCCTCCTGCTGCTACCACAGACCCAGTGGCAGGCCTTTCATTTAGCACATAGACCAGCTTAATGAGAAGGGAAGGAGCATTACTGCAGATCAGTTTTCACCCTACTAAAGTCATAGAATATCAGCAAATCAATTTTTTTTTTCCCTCAATAATAATAAAAAAGTAGCAGAGACTAATTTTTTACTTCAAAAATTATTTTTAAAAGATAGAGCTTAAATGACAAATTCTATGTACAGTTTAATTTAAATCCAAAGTTCTGAAAAGAAATATGCAATTTTATGGAGGTCAAGTTATAAATCACAATGTTCTTTGTGGATTGCTCTTTCCAATATTGTTTTTCTTAATAATAAATTCAATACCGACCACCAGAGGGACCCCCAAAAACATCTGTCCACAAAGCAGCTGTCTTAGAATAGACTTTCTGCCTCCTTCCAGACTATTGCTAGAACTAAAGCTTTGCACATCTTTGTTTACTGTTGCTCACTAATAAAAGGATAATATTTTGTCTTATACAAACATAGTTAAAAGTACACGGAAAAAATATCCAGTCACATTACAAATTTGAAAGAGTCTTATGATAGGGGGGGAAAGGGTCAATTACTTGGAGATAAGCAAAATGAAAGGTAACCAGGCCTTTGAAACACACAGTCAATAAGATAAAGAACTTTGTAATTAAATTAGAAGACTTGCATCAGTTTGTAACTGATCTGATTTAGTCCATCAACACTGCAAAAACAGAAGTTCTGACTGAACATAAGGACACGGTTTTTCTTTTTACCATGGGGCACCATCAATCAGTGGAACTGGTTGCTCAGAGTTTTGTAGTCTCCATCTTTGGCAGGTTTCAAGACCAGAAAGCAACACAGCCCAGTGTCATAGCAGAGGTGGCTTTAAGGAAGAATTTGGACTAGAGACCTCCTGAGGTAACTTCTGACCTGAATTAGCCTGTGATCCTATGAAGATTACTACAAAAACAGAGAAAAAGACTCTACAATCTGCCCCTGTAACTTAGCAACTAACTGATGAGATAGTGAGGTGTCTATATATATGTCTCTATATAGATATCTATATTTTAAAGAACGAACACAAGTTGATTATGACCTAATAATTTGCAGCAAGATAAATCAAACTTGCTTGCTCATGCAGATGTTCACTCCTGCACTTATTTCCATTCAGTGGCAGGTAGCCTTTGCTAGACTTTCCATGCTATCACCTATGGAGTATTTACATCTGACTGCAAAAACAGTCCCTTCATGCCTTTTTGCATTTTCATTTCTTCTGCTCTCAACTTCTTTTGGAACTTGCCCACTGCTACTACCCCACAATTACTGTCTGCTTTTTCAAAGGAAAAATACTGAACAAAAGTCCAAAGGCTACGGAACAGACTTTTCTCTGAAGAACATCATGCAGTGGTTAAAGCTGTACAGAACTGCAGACAGCATCTGAAATCAAGGCAACAGCTCAATGACATTAATACCACCAAAACAGTTTCTCCATTTTTAAGTAAAATCCAGTAATCATGATGTTTGAAAGGTCCAACAACATGAATATGCCATTAGTTCTTCAAGCACTCTATTTTAATGTTTTAATTTCAAAGGCTATAGGCTGTTTCAGGATAGAAACATATATAGTACTGTATACATCTGCAATTGCATTTACACACCATTATATACGAGGGGGCATCATTTAATGTCTTGGACATGTACTGCACAGGCACCACCTCAGAAAGCAAGGTCCATTTACATGTAAGTCCACAAGAGGGAGACTAGAGCATTATGGAAAACAAATCTGATTTTCCTAAACCTGCAAAAATACAACAGTAAGCTTTAGGGTGCTAAATCCACTGTTTCTTGCTAAAGTCGAAGAGACATGAAATGTATTGGTACATCTCACTGCAATCTAAAAACCTACAAAGAAAGCACAGTGATAACCATCCAGATGAAAGATCTGAAGAATCCTTTCGTCATTCTGAGGAACTGTGCATTTGAATTTCAGCAATATGGCTTGCAGCTGACCTCTTGTCCAAACACCTGTGAAGTCCTTTTGTATAGCACAATTTGCCACATGACATTTGCTCAACATGATACTCAAGTGACAATCAATCAATCAATAGAAATCTTAAACGACATAAGCAATTTATTAATTAAGCATGATGCCTGTTCCAACTATGTTTGCTTCCAGCTACAAAGCACCTAAACAAAAAGCAAGGAATTCTTCACTAGTCTCATGCAAATGACTTTTTTTGTTATTTTTTGTTTACTTGGTTGGGGTTTTTTTTTGTATCTCTAGGTCTCCCTGATTTTGTGTTAAGGCTGGAGAAAAAGACAAAACCAAAAGGGTTTTCAGGGCCATCCAAAACCTTGTATGTGACATCTACACATACATACAGCAAGAGGTTCTTATAGACTCACTTCATCTTCATCCTGTCAAAAAAAATAGGGCAAAACCTAAGAGAGCAAGATGAGTGGAACAGCCCTAAAAGGCACCACTTGGAGCCTCTGACCCTGGAAAACCACATGCCATGATAAAACCAGGTGATACAGTGAGAGCTAGAAAAATCACTGAAAAATGTCCCGAGTACCTGTCTGTTATCACTAAGTTGAATCTGTGGTGCAGATTTAACCCCACCTGACAAGCACACATTCTTTTGTATTTGGGATCATGCTCTCAAGCAAGACAAAGTTCATCTTCCTGGAAAATTTCAGAAGAGGGAGGAGAGGAAGAGAAGATGTCGCCCATCTAGACACAGGATTCATTCCATCAGGGAGATATTTATAGTAAATTCAGTGTTCAGGTTGGTGATCTTGAGAGGTATAAGCTGTACGTAGTCTCATAACTGAATTATTAACTAGACCAGTGTATCACTAGCATTAGAAAAAAATACAGCAGGTAGAAAACAATTTAACCTTATGAATTTAATCTCAATCTTTTCTTACTGAGATCTCAAAGCAAGGAAATTATGCTACAAGACACTAATATTTATTCTATTGATCTGCAAACTGAACACTGCTTCGGATAACCAGGAAGCATCTTCAGAAGCTTTTGGAGCCAGTTTCACCACATCAGTGCTGTACATTAAGCTTGGAACTGAGAAATGAAGCAGTAACAGTGTGTCCACAGCAACAGAAGGAAAGCCATATGCCCATTTTCTGGCTCATGGGGGTTTTAAGTGATGAGGTGGGAAACCCTATACAAGCAGTACTGGAAGAACATAATTTAGTGTACTGTGAGCTGCAAAATATTATTCCCAGACACTATCTGCTGGAGCGAGGTAGGAGAGTCCTCTGCCTTCTTGAAACAGAACTTCCTTAGGAGAGTGGAAACCTAGAATCACAGAATGGTTTGGGTTGGAAGGGACCTCTAAAAGTCATCTAGTCCAACCCTCTCGCAGTGAGCAGGGACATCTTCAACTAGATCAGGTTGCTCAGAGCCTCATCCAACCTGACCTTGAATATTCCCAAGGATGGGGCTTCTACCACCTCTCTGGGCGACCTGGTCCAGTGTCTCACCACCCTCATTGTAAAAAATTTCGTCTTATCTAGTATAAATCTAACCCTTTTTAAGTTCAAAACCGTTACTCTTTGTCCTATCGCTACAGGCCCTGCTGAAAAGTCTGTCCCCATCTTTCACACAGGCCCCCTTCAAGTATTGCAAGGCTGGAATAAGGTCTCCCCAGAGCCTTCTCCAGGCTGAACAACCCCAACTCTCTCAGCCTTCTTTGAATGGGGGATGTGTTCCATCCCTCTGATCACTTTTGTGGCCCTCCTCTGGACCTGCTTCAACAGGTCCTTGTCATTCTTGTGCCTTGGACTCCAGAGTTGGACACAGCACTCCAGCTGGGAGTATGGGGTGGTTGTATTGAATTGTTCTGGTTTTTAGCTGAGACAGAGCTGAGTTTCTTTTTAGTAGCTAGAATAGCACTGTGTTTTGGTCTCAGCCTGGGATTTGTTATGAGAGAAATGTTGATAAGATACAAATGTTTCCATTTTTGTCACTGGAAGTGAAGGACTTCATGTTCTGTTAGTCTACAAGTGCAAGATCTAAGGGGGTGAGGAATATTTAAAGTAATAAGTTAAACTGGCATTTGGATATACCAATGGGATATTCCATATCATATCACATCATGTCCAGTATATTAGTGAGGGTTTCTTCCTATTTGG